GTGAATGATGACTACACCTGACAGATCAGATTTATGGAGACAATTTACTATATTTACAATGCATTAATGCTTTATTTTTGTATAGCAAGGTTTTTAGACTATATCCCAAAATGCTTTACAGAGTCAGTTTCAATAATCACAGAGAAGATTATACAATTCAAAAGCTAATCAGCAGGCAAAGGAATCAAGAGGTAGATGCTGATGAGACAAACACAGAAAGGCAGTTATAGATGGCAGGAGCTACTAAGATGGCAGCTTCTGCACCAACAAAGAGGGAAATGATAAATTGAATAAAAAAGCATTTGAAGTCAATCTTGAAACTATTAAGCAATGTTTGAGAATGGGTGAAGTTGTGCTTCTGTCCATGAGGGAGAACTGGCACCTGCCTGCAGCATATGCTGGTATCTGGAGATCTGGGAATGATAACAGTCAATGAAAGGATATCAAGGAAGATCTCTGCACAGTTGAGGTAAAGTTGTACACTGGCAAGGTGGCACAGTTGGTAATATGTAGATTTGTGCATAAAAGAGAGATCATAAAAAGGCAGTTCAAGGGTGACGCTGATGATCTGAATGATATGAATAGCGGTAACAAAAAGTTGGTGGTTAATTGAGAAAGGAAGAAAAGCCGATTTGAACAACAATATATATATATTTTATTCCCTGCCTTAGAAAGCTATGAAACATCCAAACATGCATTAGAAAAGACAACTTGAATGCTCCTAGGATTAGTGATGTTTTTTAGAGAGATGTTCACAAGTGTATATTGAATTCAAGCCTATGTCATGACCCAAGAAAGGCCTGACCCCAAGCACTAAATCTGAGTATTACAATTTGGATCTTGGTTTGCAGCACGAATTTATCTCTACAATGGATCAAAATCAAATAGTCTTCCAGATCAGGAAAGCTTGGCTTTCAAATGCCAAGACTTTCAAATGTGTCTTCAGATTTAGGGCTGGTATCACATTAATCTCTAGATGCTGCAACCAAGATCGGGCCCTGTTGTACAAATAATTTTTGCTTTTTACAGAGCCGAACTCTCACTACCTAGACAAAAAATCTACGTTTAAGGAGTGGTGGGTTGAAATAATCCAGCTCAGTCCAAGGTGAGCAGGCCCTGTCAACTCAGCTGCCACTTCTCTTCCCCACACAAAAAATGTTGCAGAAGCCCTAGCTTTGAGGGCTAGATAGAGTTAATCCATAGGCTGCATTTGGCCTGTGGACCTTAGGTTGCTGACCCCTGATCTAAACAGACAATGCAGATAAAAGGGGGAATACATGTAGTGGAGTAACTAGCCCAGGGTCATAGAGGAAATCAAAAGCAGACACCAAGTCCCATGATAGTATCTGCCAGACCATACCATGCCTGTCTCTCTTACAGTCTTTGCTAATGGTGATACTGTCTATGATACTGTACAAAACACAGGATGACATGGTTATCTTCAAGGTGCTTACAATAAGGAGCTCTAGGAGCTTACAGTATAGGCAGACAAATAATATAATGGAATGCAAAACATACTGGGCGATGAGAAAACAGATCAGAAATAAATGTTCATGGTTTGCTGACCAAACTTTAACCCAATACTACTTTGTTCAACAAGTTAGAACTTGTTGATCAAGTTCAACTTAAAGAAGAATTAAGATATGCAGAACTTAACTATTTTGCACATGGGGATTTTCTGGTGAGCCAACAGCATTAAACTTACTAAGGTGAGAACAGAGAAAGGGATTTCTTTATCAATGCAGAGAACACGCTCCAACTGGTGGCCAACTCGCAGCACAATTGTCACAAGTAGCACAGAGGGTAGCCTTTGTGCATGGCACACAGATCAGAGAGGGAAATATGCAGTAAAGCAGCAACTCAGGCAGGGAGCACAGGGAGGGAAGCAAAAAGCAGAATAGATCAGGCAAGGAGCAAAAGGGGAGCAGAAAGCAGAGCAGCAGATTGGGCAGGGGAAGCAGATCAGAGTGACACTTGGAGAAGGTGTTAGACTAATTTGTAGCACACCTGCCACAAAGGTTGGCCCCCATTGTCCTACCATATCAGTAGGATATGTTATTACCACCTATAGTGCATCATCTTAGGACACTAGCTCATGGTATTTCTTATTTAAGGTAACCCTTGTATACAAGAAAGGAAATGTTTAGCATAGGTACAAAAGAAAGAAAAATGCTTATGTGGTCTAAAAGCTACAATATCTAAATATGAAACAACTTTATAACATCCCAGATTATACTACAAAATGCTGATAATAATTTAAATATGTTTTTAGTATGGGGTAGAATTCAAAACAGACGTATTTTATAAGAGGAACATAGGTTTTAGAGTCAATCACAGAACTGTACCTCGTGAAAGCAGCCATAATGAATCATGGTGAATAGAAAACATCTAATCCCTTTTCCCGTTGTAAGAGGGTAATGCTGCTTTTTGTTTATCTGTTAAACCCAACACATTACAAAGGCCTTTGGTTTCTGATAACCTTATATGGCAGCTCCTCAAAGAAACAAGTTCCAGTAAGCTTATCTCCTTAACAGGCTCCAGACCTAACCGGATAACTACCTCAAAAAAGAAAGAGGATTAAGAAGAAAGTCTATAAGGATGATCAAACAAATAAAGCTGCATCAGAATGTGTATGGATAAAGCAAAATTGTCAGAAGTTAAGCTAAGTTAGACCTTGACAAGGATATTAAAACTAACAGCAAAAGCTCCACCCCGCTGCTAACTTTAAGTAAAAGAGAGAGAACAAGGAAAGAAGTAGAGCATTATTCAGTAAAGCATGGTCCAAAAACCTAAATGAATCATTTGCTTCAGTTTTCAGTAAAGGTGCTGATTAACAAAGGAGCAAAGGCAGGATTACTAATGGGAATCAGAAATTTGACATGGAAATTAGCACAACTGAAGTAGAAGCTGAAGTCAAAGAGCTTAATGTACTCATGACAGGGAGAGGAATGGGAATCTGGATACTCTCCATTACAAAATTCTAAAAGTTCAACCCTTAGAGCAAGTGTTTTTAATACATGCATCAAATCAGGACAAGGATCAGAGAATACCAAATGGAGTATTTATATTTAAAACACAGGAGAGAAAAAAGAATGATTCAGGTAACTTCAAGTCTATTATCTGGACCATGATAGTTTGCAAAGCTTTAAAATGAATTTTGAAGGGAAAAATAATTAAATACAGTCCAAGGAGGTAAATGGAAAGCAGGATGAAATGCAATGAGGTAGACTGTGCCAGACCATGCTGATAGTTTTTTTTGATAAAGCAACAGATTTTCTAGACAAAGAAAATACTGCAAATCCTGTGTGCAGGGGCTTCAGTAAGTATTTGATACACTGTACCAATTATTAGTTACTATTAGAAATTAGTAGTTGAGATGGGAAATGGGGGAGTTTAATACAGGAGTTAGAAAGTGGGAAAAGAACTGACTAAAGGGGAGATTGTAACAGGTAGTGATGAAAGCAGAAGTATTAGGTGGTGGGAGTTTAACAGTGGACTTCCTCAAGGATCAGTCTTGGAAGCAATCTTGTTAAACATTTACATTAATTATCCTGGTACAATAAGGATGAATATGGTGGAGAATACAGTCATTACAGAATAGGGCTGGTATAGAAACTGGTTAACCTTGAGGACTGAGTATAGAGGAGTGGGATGTAATTCAGTAGGACAAGATGGGGACCTACTAACAAGAATTTATACTATAATCTGGGAACTCATCACTTGGAAATAGCTGAGGAAGAGAAGGACCTGGGTGTACTATTTGATCACAACATGACTTAGCTGCTAATACAGTGAAGCTCCAAAAGAGGCAAATGCAATTGTAGGATGTATCAGTGGAGGTATTCCCAGGAGAAGGAAGTATTATTACTCTTGTAAAAGGTACTGGTAAAATCCCACCTTCAAAAAGGATAATTTCAAATGAAACAGGTGCAGAGAAGGACTACTAGGATTGTTAAAGGAATGGAGATCTTATCATATGAAGGCACTGAGGGAGTATATGACTTCTGCCTGTAAACACATCAGGGGTAAACAGCAGGGAGGGAGAAGAGCTATTTAGGTTACTGAAAATGTAAACATAAGAATAACTGGATATAAAATGGCCATGAATAAGTTTGTACTGGAAACTCAAAGAAGATCCAGTCTATTAGGTTACTGGGGAACTGGAGCAGTCTCACAAGTAGAGCAATGGGGAGCAAAAAACCCTAACCCAATACATTTCTGAATGTGATATAGACTGGACTTGGCCATGCAGGGAGGTCCTTTCCAGTCCTATGTTTCTGCATGCTCATTACTGCACAGTATACTGATTATTTTAGTGTTGAACGAAGATAACTTACTTTTTCCTATGACTAAGGAGGCATTCAGTGAACATACTGAAAAGTGGGACCTCTAAATGATGGTCTCTGGATGGAAATTAAGGAGTCCCTTGACATTTGTCCCAGAACACATATACTGGAAGAAACATTTCATTCTTGTCCTGCTATGCAAATAACACAGTTGACTAAGTACTTGATTACTTAATTCAATGGATTCTCACCCAGGGTGCTGTGAGGCACCTTATGAGGGTGCTGTGGGGTACCTCACAAAGTTAGCGCTATGAGGTACGCAAACATGATTCATAAGATAAACCCAGAGATTTCAAATGGGAATCCACGGTGTTAAAAATATTCTGGCCCATTGTGGTCTTTCTCAATTCTCTGCAACAAAATTGCTTTATTATTTTTCTGTAGTCAAAGAATGAGTCAAAACTAAGAGCGCACACTCTGAGGCTAAAAAGGCTGAGAACCATTCACTTAATTTCTTTCTGTACCTCCAAAAGATGCCACAGAACTGCAAAAAAGAATTCAATCTCTGCTGTACTATGGGTCAGTTCTAGTTCTGCTCTCCTTGCTTAGTCAAAACTTCCACAGAACTGGCACTTAGGAAGTATCTCACACTGTATTTGGGCACAGAATAACTTTGTTAGAACAAAAGTTAGAACTTTCCAGTCCTATGTTTCTGCATGCTCATTACTGCACAGTATACTGATTATTTTAGTGTTGAACGAAGATAACTTACTTTTTCCTATGACTAAGGAGGCATTCAGTGAACATACTGAAAAGTGGGACCTCTAAATGATGGTCTCTGGATGGAAATTAAGGAGTCCCTTGACATTTGTCCCAGAACACATATACTGGAAGAAACATTTCATTCTTGTCCTGCTATGCAAATAACACAGTTGACTAAGTACTTGATTACTTAATTCAATGGATTCTCACCCAGGGTGCTGTGAGGCACCTTATGAGGGTGCTGTGGGGTACCTCACAAAGTTAGCGCTATGAGGTACGCAAACATGATTCATAAGATAAACCCAGAGATTTCAAATGGGAATCCACGGTGTTAAAAATATTCTGGCCCATTGTGGTCTTTCTCAATTCTCTGCAACAAAATTGCTTTATTATTTTTCTGTAGTCAAAGAATGAGTCAAAACTAAGAGCGCACACTCTGAGGCTAAAAAGGCTGAGAACCATTCACTTAATTTCTTTCTGTACCTCCAAAAGATGCCACAGAACTGCAAAAAAGAATTCAATCTCTGCTGTACTATGGGTCAGTTCTAGTTCTGCTCTCCTTGCTTAGTCAAAACTTCCACAGAACTGGCACTTAGGAAGTATCTCACACTGTATTTGGGCACAGAATAACTTTGTTAGAACAAAAGTTAGAAGTGGGGACTCTACATTACAGTGGGAGACACTAGTCGATCATTAGATTTGTGTCAGAAGAACAGAGCCAATAGTTATGAAAGCATTGTGTACCACCATCTCCTTTTTCAGCCTACAGATTTTCACTGACGCTAAACAAAGACAATTTCATCATTTGAAAAATGAACTCTAATTGTGAATTTTAGGACACTAACCTTAAAATGTTTCATCATTTAAATCGCAGACTTCTCGCAGATGGGTACCTAAAGAGCTCTGTGAGAGTCCTGCCACCAGCTATGTTTACTATTCTTCTAATTTCCTGTTCCAAAATTCTTGCACATGTTCGAAACAACTGTGCACTTGGTTTCTTCCCCTTCAGCTGTTATGATTAGTTAACTATTGTTGCTATTAGACCACACTTGGGCACTTTTTTTTTTTTTTACAATCAGTGACTTGGCACTGTCTGCACCTACATAGCGCACTCATCTAAACACTTTAAACAAGCAACAGCTACTTAAATAGTGCTGGGTACTGGAGCATGTTTCTACCTACAAGACACATTTATGGAGTCAGGGTAAGATCAGTCCTGGCTTACAAAGAAAACAAGGAATGGAGAAAAGAAATTAACTGTGTAAATAGATGAAAATTCAAGGAGAGACAACTATATTGTAAAAACATGATGGAGAGGATGTTAGAGGTCTGCAACTAAAGATGCATTTTCAGTACTGGTATTGTGACAAACTTATTCGTGAGGACAAGGTCTGAATCTTCCGTACACTTGTAATATATTTATCATATATATATATATAAATATATATACATACATACATACATACATACACACACACACACACATTCCATGAGCTCAAAGTAAAACACTATGGTTAAGATTTTTCAAAACCTTTGAATCTCCTTTTTGAAATGACTAGCTATATGCATGGCTAAACCCTCTAAACTTGACTTTGGAAAATCTCAGACTACTTATAATGAATGAATGATCATTATGTGCAGTTTAACAACCATTAAAGCAAAGCACAGAGGCACATATCTTTTACTCATTAGCTGAAAGGCTACTCTGCATATGCAATGTTAGAGCTTGATTCTATGCCGTGGTTTTCAAACTTTTGGCTGTGTACCCCTTTACCTGCAAAATACTGCTTATTCATTCCTTAAGATCAATGTCAATACTGATGACAATGCACAGCAATGCCGTTATTCACCATGCACTGGTCAATTGGAAAATCCACTGCCATTATTCAAATTTAGACATGTACCCCTTAGCAAAGTACCTATAACCCTGGGGGTATGCGTACTTTAGCTTGAAAACCATTGGCCTAAAGCATTGGTGGTAGCTCATTGTTGTTTATTCACTTTTGGTGTACACATACAAATTCTATACCAAATTTGTCCAAGTGGTACATTGCTATATTTCTATTTAGCTAAGAAGGGAGTCAAACTATACAAAAAATTCTAAAATAACAGACACTAAGCAAACTGAATTCAGATCATATAGCTGAAATAAAAAATAAAAATTATTTAACATATTGCATGAGTAATACAACATAAACTTCCATTCAGAAAACAAAATGTAATCACACTGAAATCAAAATAAAACAAATATTACAATGCACAGCCAACACACTTTAACAACTATAAATTCTTAATTCCTAACTTTTTCTTTAAAAAAGGTCATTAAAATATTTATGCTGACTCTTTACTTTAAACAACTAAATCAATTTGTTAAAGTATTACTGGTCACTTGTCCTTTGTCTTAAGTTTCTAGATTTTCCATTTTCAAATTTTCTCTTTCTAAAGGTTGATATCCCTTCTGTCAGGTCTCCAAGGGATGTGACTATTTTTTCTTTAAATATCACTTTTGCATCCTCTGGAACTTCTAGCACTGGAGGAGGTAGACGGTCACTATCCATACTAGGAAGTTCTAAGTCCACTTTTTCACTAGAAGCAGAGTTAAAAATAAAGAAAAGTTACTTGACAAGATCAAGACCAGCAATGTGGAATGCAGACAACAAGGTCTGAACTTTATTTTCAAAACAGCTTTGCAAATTGTATTGAAAAGGTATGAACTGGACAAAGTCTACTTGCTCATCTTTGTAATTAAGTGAATATGGTAAATATGGAGAAAAAGTTAATATTTTACCTCCCCTAGTTAAGCTGGCACATTGGACATAAAAATAACAAACACAGACCTCAGTGAAAACAATCCATCACATTCATAATTTTACTCATGCAAGTAATCCTATAAAAGTCAGTATTTGTGTAGCTACTCAGGCATAAAGTTAAGTGTGTGCTTAACAGTTTGTAGGAATGGGACGTAAAAGCACCAAACTTGGCATGTGCTTAGTAAGTTTAGCCAACAGGCCAGAAGAGCTGAACTCAAGGTGCCAAGCGGCAATCTCTGCCACTGACATCACCACAAGCTGCAGGTAGTAAGCCTGATTTGATAGTAAGCTGCAGGTAGTAAGTCTTATACCTATTACCCAAGAAACAGTGCAATAATCAAGCACTACAGCATTTCTCTATCGTATTGTTCTGCACAATTCCAGCTTTTGCAGTGCAACACCAAGTCCCCTGAGGCAAAGAAAATAATTTATTTGGTACATAATTTCTACCATGCAAGGCACATGATATTGTTTACATATGGCAATGTTAGAGCAATGTTATAGCCACGATGGTACAGGAACTGTGTGAGAGGCAAGGTTTTCTTAGGGTAATATCTTTTATTGGACCAACTGCATAATTGGGATAGAGTTACACAAGCTTTTGAATGTAATTTTTTTTTCTTCAGGTCACTTGCATTCAAAAGCTTGTCTAACTCTATCCCAGCTATGAAGCCGGTCCATTAAAAGATGCTGCCAAAAGATATCCTTGCCTTTCACTACACACATCGAAAGAGTGAGTAATGAAATCAGTCTTTTTTTTTTTTTTTTAAACGTAATTGAATTTTTTATTCCATGACTTCTGTCTAAACAGAGTTAAAAAGCACCTCTGAAATAGCATTGCTTGAATCTGCTAATTGGGTTGAGAATTGCTAAGGAAGGGACGACTGAGAAGATATGAAAATTTTGTTCCTGCTAACGACTAACCTTTGCCACCCTAATGAATTGGGATTCTGAGGTTTTGTATTTTCCACCACACACTACAGAGAAAGTAGGCAATGACAATCAAAATATACAATCAAATATATACATTTCATTTAACACTAGTTTTCCAGCTGGGAGTTGTTTTTTTTTACAGTTCCTTTAACAACTCAAAAATGAATCTGAATGTTAAGCTGTCTATAGCTATGTTTCGGCTGGAGCTAAGCCAATGGGGTGAGCAGGCTGTCAGTATAAATATTAAACGATAATTTTTCTAGGTTAAACTTAAAAATTTTGCTAAGAGGCAAATGTATTAGTCAATAAAGAAAGTTATGACTGTGTCCTTCCTGTAATCAAAACTCATCCCTCTAGCATGTTGCAACAGATTCACTGTTGGCAAAGGTTTCTGGTTCTTCTGAAAAATCAGAGGTACGTCCATTGTTAGCCAATGAGCCACAAAGGATACATATACTGATCAGTTATTTGCTAAGTTGCCATTAAGATAAAGAGTTTTTGCATCACAGCAGTTCTTGAAAAAAGACAAAGTGTAGATAATAGCCATGCAAATGGACTTTAACTACTCAAGTCTGCCTTGTGTGACAGCTAACCAGTTCAGAAAGGCTAATAGCCTTAATTAGATTATATTCAATTATACTAAACCCAGCTAATGTTTACACTGCAGTTCTCTTTTATATGCCTTTGAATAAATGGCAGTCCAACTTTTGTACTTGTCCTATGATCCAGGCACTTTTTATCTAAGCATCTTATTAACAAAGTTCTACAGGACCTCTGTGAGGTATGTATGTAAGTGTCACTAACCTCTTTTTAAAGATAGGGAAACTTTTTGATAGAAAGGAGTTTGATGACTTATCTGATGTTAACCAGCCACTGATAGTCAGGAATAGAATCTTAAGACTCCTGCCTCTCAATTCCCCTGCTCTATTTGCCAGTATCAGTGAAATGCACACTTCTGTTAACAGAAGTTACTCTTTTATTATAGCATCATGCATTATTTAATTAATTTACTAAAAAGATTATACTAGAAGCTCATAAACCATAGCAGCTACTTGAATAATCTGAAGCTCCATTACTAGCTACCTAGAGATTATTTCTGAGTTTCGACTCTGTCTTGTGCTTAAACTGCAAGCTAGCTGATGACTGTGTATTGAAGACCTGCTTGGATCTGGAAAAATACATGCGTCAGATCTAAATTTTCAAATATCCCAAGTTGAATGCTCAATCAGTTTGAATGCATACCAGAAATGATACCTTAAAACTTAATTGCAAAATCTGGTTAATGGTATTTGAGACTAGTTGGAAGACATCAATCCATTTTACAATCAGTTTGTGAAGTTTACTCTGAATTTACTTATGATAACTGGTACTTACTATGAGACTTCCTCTTTTGCAACTGTCTCCCAATCTCCATAAGGATTGGTCTTTTTAGAAAGACTGTGGGATGTTTTTTGTGGAACTGATGTAGAGTCATCTTCTTCCTCCTCTTCCTCCTCCTCCTCACCACCTTGTTTCACATTCTGCCACTTTCCATAAGGGCTTATCTTTTTAGCTTTGGGAGGAGTCTCTTCCTCTGTTTCTTCAATACTATCCTCTATCCTCTAAGGAGGAAAAAACCCACCTTAAGCAAAAATGCCTAAATAAAAATATAATGTTGCTTTACTTCACTTCTTTTATTTCTCTCTTATCATCCATAATTGTTATTTTTTAAAACAAAGAAAACAACAGGCAATAAAGAAACTTCATATTGTAGAAGAATTTTAATATGCTTCTTACACAATCCAGAAAACAAAGACCAAGACTCATTCATCTTTTGCATACTTGAAACACAAAAGACCCATCTACCACAGCTGAAGATGACCTGGGTAGCAAATCCAAACTAACAAACAATTGATCATATTTTGCCTCATAATTTTCTTATGGATAACATTTGGTAGAAGCTCAGGTAAATGGATACACAGAAAAAGTCTGGGGTACTATATTAGAGCATCTGCATTTATCCATTTCTACATTTCAGTGAAAACTCTCTGGAATTTTCCAGCAAATGGCTTTGGGAAACTACTTCATCTTCTCAGGACCATAATGACAATTTACAGTTAAAGTGAAGTGAGAAAGGATGGCATCTGCTTAGGACACTACTTTCATCCTACCACTTATCTTCTGAAATGATGCTTAAACACAGGTAAATTTTTCAGATAAATGGTCTGATCTTTTAGAACCTCATTGCTTTTGGATATTTTTAAGAGTTAGAGTTAAAAATTATAGTTTTATATTGAAGTCAGTATCAACGTGTAGAAAATCTAATGGATAAACCAATCTTCTTCTCTGGACACCATAAACATTTTTGATAACATCCAAGCCACTTGGATTGGAGGGGAGGTTCTCCTGTTTTCTGTATCCAGGAGCATTGCTGCTAATGTGCTAATAAATTAAAACATGTATTGCTGTTCAAGAAATTGCTTTTATAATAATCAATAAGGCTAAGTCTAACTACAATAAATGTGGTCTGTTAGAAAGATGAATTCATAATATCCTATAACATTAATAAAGTACATAAAGCAATTCAATGGTAAAACTTACCTTAAAGTTTATTTTTGGCTTCTGTACTTCACGTTTTTTACCTCCCTTTTCAGTACGTGATACAGCTACCTTTGAAGCTGCTGCTGTGAGTGCTTTAGAACGAATGTCATCTTGTCTGCTCTCATTTAAAGGTGAAAAAAAACCTTCAGGTTTCTCCCATTTTGACACTGTTCAACATATTTAGACAATCATATTATTAACATTTCCATTTGCAGTCTAAAGTCATGTGAGTTTTGACAAGATTAGGCAACATCAGGGACAGCATTAGCCTCACATACATGTGCAGTTAAGAATTTATCAAAAGACTTTCCTTTTCGTCTGCTGTGTTCTTTTTAGGTTAACATTATTTTTCTATACTTTATTGCTAAACACTAATTTTGTCACTTGAGTTATATGTATCTTCTGGTGAGGACTGTTGCAATTTGCCCTATACTATGCATTTAATCTTGTTATTAGAGTAGAAATATTTTATATTTAAATGTATATGTTATATAACTTTCAATTAAAAATATTATTTTGTCATATTTGGTTAATTAAACTATGACAATGCAACAGGAACTACAGCAATTATGCATTACCATTTTCCAGCACTCTTGGACACCAACATCATATATGCAATCACTTGCATACAGTACCCCTCTGTTGTCTACACTGGACAGACAGAGTGATTCCTACCTGTCAGAGGCTAGGGACAGACATTACACTAACTGGTTTAAGTGATCAGAAACTGGTTTAAATCTGTAACAGAACATAAGTTCAGTGCACATAAACCAGTTTCAAAATGACTAGCTGAATGTAATACCAGACTTAACTGATTTGGGTCAAACTGGTTTATGGAACTTCTGTCCCAGACCCCTTCCTGGTTTAAGTTAAACCAGAGTCCCCCAGCAACCCAGATGTTTTGCAACCCTGGGCTGGGCTGTCTGCTCCAGAAAACAGGGTTGGCCCTGCCCACCTGCTCCCCAGCCAGAGCTCTGGTGGAGACTGCACGTGCACAGCAGGATCTGCCTGGCTTCCCCCGCCCCATCGCCCGCTTGCTGCTGAAGCAGGAATTCTCTACTCCCTCCCTCCCTCAGCATGGACCCAACCCCATGGACCCTAGGCATGTGGTATGCTAGCTAATGGGTGTGTGTGTGTCCAACTTTACTGGGACAGGCAGACAGAACAGTGGCTACTTCAGGCTTTTTGCAGCTAATCAGCAGGTCAGCTGGTAATGTCCCTCTGTTCCTTCCTTGGAAAAAGCTGTTTAAGAGCTTGAACTAGAGAGAGACTTTTGTTTTGTTGATGAGCTGATAAATGCAGTGTTAGTAATCAGAGTGTCTTGCCAAGGCCTGGCCACCCCCCGCCCCCCCAGCTCAGCACCATGGAAGGTAAGAGAGGGCTGCTCTAGTGCCCTGCAGCTTCTAGCCTGAGTCCCTAGCCAGAATGAATGAAAACTGATCTGACATCAATTCCAGAAAGACGTGTAGTATGTGCCAGAACACTAACTCTCCTAGGACAATCCATCACTGATCTGAGAGTGGCGTTCGGAGACAACAAAACTTAAAAAATGAACTTGAACGGAAAATTGCAGACAAGACTACACTGGGTTAGGTATGGTCCAAACCACAACTACGTATCCTTACCCCATTACCTAGATTAGCTTTTATAACCCCTATGGGTTAACTGCTGAATTTTTTTCTTGCCTATCGACCTTGCCTCCTTTTCCCACCCTCCTTCCCTACCCTTTGTATTCTAACCACTGCTTTCTTTTTAGGCCCTTGTTGCAAGTTACACTTAGGATATATTAACTACACTTAAAATGTGAGCATTCAGCATTCAAGCAGTAAAACACTAAAGCATGGGCTAAATGCCATTCTAGTGTAGCAAAGTGAGGACTTCTTTGGTGAGAAGTGGCTCCAAATTGTATTATTAACACATGTTGAGCTAACACCCAACTGCTCCACTGAGGTAAAATGATCAGGAGACTCCAGTGCAGTGGGGCAGGCTAGGATTGACAAAACAGTTGTTTGTCAGGCCCAGCACCCTGAGCACGCTGGATTCTTTACAGCTCCTATGTTTAGGACATGTTTTATTTAGACTGTGGTAAGCATTATCATGAGACTGCTCAAAAAACTTTCTACCTTGTAGTAATGTTTGCTATGATGCAAATAAAACATCTCCTAAGTGTAATCTGTAACAAGGCCCTTAGCAACTCTGCTTCCTGTCATCCCTTCACTAAATCTGACGAAGTAATCCTGCTGCTTATGAAAGCTTATACTATACAACTCTGATTTAGTTAGTCTACAAAGTGAAAAGCTGCCCTGCCTTCAGCACTAAACCAGATAAACACAGATATAACCCACACGGCTCTTAACTGGTAACATTTTTGGCTGTGCATTTACAACCTCTTGTCTTGATTACCCTAACATGTACAGGTTTCAAAGCCAACACCTCCTTCCACAAACTATAACTAGCTGAGTCAGTAGAATACAGAACAACTAAGGTGCTTTAATTAAAGAGCAGTGTTTACATATTTCTAACCTCATTTATCTGGAATGCCCTGAAACAGCTCAGGAACATGACCTTAGTTTAAATTAAAAATGTTAAGGGATGTGGTGTTCTATGAACTACTTCAAATGCAGTGTTTCAGTAAGGAGTTTAAAAAAATTCCTACAGTCATATGAACAGCTGAAAAACAGTTTGCAGGAACAATTCTGTTTGATTGACCAAATCAGTTTAATTCTAGAAAATCTATCAATTCTCTAAAATTGCTGGAAGTAAACATTTACATTAACAAAAAACTACTATGCCTATTTCACAGATTTATACATTTTTAGAAATATCACTGAGTGCAAAAAATTAGAAAGTACACTTTCCATTTATGCTATCTTCAGTAAGTAAAGGTGTATCAGACTGACATCTAGTGGCTTAAAGAGCCTTTGACAACAAAACAGAAATGTTGTTGACATCTGTCCTGGTCTTAGAACACAAAATGAGCTGAAAGCTAATGCAGGGCTAATGTGAATTTTCAAAAACATTAAAAAAATTGTATTATGATCACAGATGAACAGTATCCTCAAAATCTCCTCAGTATGAACAATACACCTCCAAAAATGGTTACAAAGAACTTCATACAGGTTACCTATTCATGTAAAACCTCCAAAAGTAACACCATACAAATTCAGAAGATATACCTGAAGTTACAAGTAGTTAAACATGATTTTTAAAATCACTTCCTGAAATGAAAACATATTTTTGCATACATTAAAAGCTATTTTTGTGCTTCCTTACAAATATCAATAATATCAAATTTGATTTTCTCTGTTTTTTTACCTGAGGAACATTTTAGATTATCTCAGGACCTGTCTAATCTACATTCAGAAGATGCAAGTGAAAGGTGGCTTCTTTAATCTTTTTTACAAAGATTTTATTTACTACAAAATGTTGCTTGGTCATTACAGTTAAACAGGAGATAAAAAGAAAAAAATCAAAGCATCTTAAAAAGAAACTGATTAAAATCACTCTTGGTCACAGCTGTTTCAACTTTCATTCTCTTGGCTGTTAACATAATTAAATCACTACACATTCTGTGGAAGCCCAGATAAATGCTGAATTTGTGATATAACAAAAATTTACTCTTGTCTGAAGAAAAGGGTCCTTTTAGGTTTTTTTCATGTAGCATGAAAAAAAAAAAAGCATGATTCATTTTTTCAGCCCAAGAAAGGATTTTAAATTAGATTGTTTAAAGCTATTTGCAAGTTCAACTTCTTCTACTCAAAATTATGACATTTTAAGAAAGGTTCTCTGCTAGATATGTCAACACTACCATCCTCTTCCACCATGGACTAAGACAGTGTTTCTAAACCTGTGGATCATGATCCAAAAGTGGACCGCAAGAATATATGAAAGGGTCACGAACAAACTTTAAAAAAGGATCAACAAACTTTAAAAATGGATCCTCTTTTAAAGGAGAAAAAAGTGGAAAGCTGTGGTTTTTCCCTTGCAGGCTGACAGAGTTGCAGCCTGCAAGGGGCTGCTTGGGGGCCTCCAGGCCTCCCGCCCCACTTATCCCCTGCCACACACACTGGGAGCTAGGGTCTGGGGGCAGCAGGTTGGAAGTGAGGGGTACTGGATCAGGACTGGCCAATGTTTACAAATGGGTCCTGGTACAAAAAAGTTGAGAACCACTGGACTAAGAGAGCTCCCCACGTACGGCATTTTCTATAGTAGCATTTTTCTTCAAACCTTGTGCTACTGATAGCAATGAAATGAGCATTACTATGAAAGGGCTGCTGAAGCTTTCACGACCAACATGGGTAACCCTATTACAAGCTGGCCTTGGTGTTATTTGTTTAAAAAAAACCAACACTATCCGTTCCCCTTAATGCATCAGAAGGAGATTAGAAGAAACCATGCTCATACAAGACAGTTCTGCAGACAACAAGGAAGAAAAGACTTTCTACACCTGATATTTGCAATGTAAAAACAGAAAAGCACATGGATTCTCTGTAAGGCACTCTATTATCCTGCATACAGTGGAGCTCAGATATTCCGCAATAATATCTGTGCTAATATACTCCTAACTCAGAGCTCATAGATATAAGGGCTTGGAAGTAGGAAGGTTAATGGGAGAATGGAGTAAGAAACAAGGATTTTTGCACCCAGTTAATACAGCTCGATGCTGCATTATCTTTCCATTCTTTCCTTCCCTCTATATGTAGGAATTCCCTCCTGCAGGGAGCAATTCGCAGGCTAGCAGATTGGGAATGACTGGTGCATGGCTTCACGGGACCTATCCTGCTTTGGAGCAGAATGGGGAACCCAGAGCTGTGAGAAAAGCAGAGGCTTGCCTCTTATGGAGCAGCACAATTTAGAAACAGAAGAGCTGCATGTTCCGAAGGGCTATGCAGCAAGCTGTCCCAAGCAAGAAAATCCATTTTAGAAAAAAGCTTAGAGGTTCTTTGCAGTATCTTCCTCTTCTGAGCTCTCTCCTTCTGGTATTCCTGCAGAAGGATAGGGTCCAGGCCATAGTTGTTTGGTTCTTTACAGGCAGTCCTCAAGTTACAACATTTCGTACTTACAACGTTTATAAATTGACACACCTGTTTCAACTTTATGACGTCAGTTTTGACTTTACAATGTTTGTTCTGATGCGACGCCACACTAGCGAACAAGTTTGCTGCATTGCTCATCTCCCTGGAGAATATCTGTCCAAACTTCCTTGGACATTTTCTCTAAGAAAGGAGACAAGACTCCAGAAAAACCAGCGGTCAAGACTCCTGAGAAGACTCCAGCCAAGAACCCTTCAAGAAGTCCAACAAAGAGCCTTTCAAAAAGTCCAGCAAAGTCACCTCAAAGAAGTCCTTTCAAATCAATGATTGCTATTTACAATATAAATACATTAATGTAGCTATATTACCCATCTCTAATTGATTCAGTACAAAATTCTGGGGATTTTTGGTTAAAATAGGGTATCAGGCCTTGGTTCAGGAACAAATCCTCCATTTATAGCATTGTTTCTTATGAGAAAATTGGTTCCGAGATAAAACGTTTCGACTTAAGATGCTGTTTTCAGGAATCAATTGTGTTGTAAGTCCGAGGACTGCCTGTATTAAAATCAATAGTGAAATAACTGGTAAAATAAAAATTCACTACAGAAATAATGGGG